TATTAAAACAAGGTGGATTCGTGATGGTTGCATCCCCGATAAAAATGATCAACTCCAATTTCCATTAATACACTGGGCGTGCATTTTTGGACAATACAAACACCTGGAGTATCTCGTTCGTGAAAAAGGCTTTGAGCTCAAGGTAAACGTCGGAAGGAACAAGGAGGGGCCACTGTTTTCTATGGTTCAGCATCTAAGTAGTGGTATGCATCCCAAGAGCTCCAGAGAAAAGCTCGGAAATATGTTTGGAAATGTTATAGATATCTTCATGAAGTACAGCCCAGAAAGCTTGTTTGAGAGAGAATCAAGTAACGACAATACCATATTGCATTTCTGTGCCAAACGGTGTTGTGAAGATTCGCTTTCTAGAAAATATTTGGAAGTTCTCTTGGTAAAGATCAAGGAGAGTGAGAAGTTTCCACCTGAGAAAGAAGAAGAAATATTATTAGCGGTAAACAAGGAAGGCGATACTTTCCTTCATCTTATGGTATCGGATGAAATGTCCACTGACACACTGACATACTTTTTTGCAAATTTCAGCGAATTTGGTGAGAAGATTTCTAAAGTCAGAAACAGTCTTGGTGAGACACCTCGGCAGATTGCTGTACAGAAAAGGTCTATAAAAATGCTCAAGGCTCTTGGAGCACCGGATGTGGTCATAAACACTGTAAAAAAGGCTGTCTCCAGTAAACCAAAGAACTCTCTTGCCGCAGCTAAGGCTTCCCAACAAAACAATAAGGAAACTCCAATAACGGTGCCTAAACCCTCCTCGAGTTTAAATGCCACATCTAGCGACAAGGAGAATCGAAACTCTAAAGCAGCTCCCAATCATTTGGGTTCAGTTGTTAAAGGTGCATTAGGTGTGTCATGTGCAGAACAACCTGAAGTGTCAATCATCAGTGATAGAGAGTTACACGCAGCAGATTTCAAAATGAGTTCATGTGAACCTCTGCCATCTTCTGTGGAGAACGATTGTAGTGCGCCAACCAAAAGACCACTCGAGCCATTTCCTCAGCTTTATCATGTTTCAAATGAAAAGAATATAACACCAGAAAAGCCTTCTGTTGTTCCTAAGTACATCGTGTCACCCCCTGCCGATTCGATGGATCTGGTTAATGCTGTCACTGTTGATGATTTGTCTCGTGCATCTGGTGCACTGGAAGCTGATCCCACTCGTGGCGAGCGCAACTCTTTTGTCAGTCTTTCAAATAGCATTAATAATGTCACTCAAAAGAGGAAAGCTCCAGGATCCAGCAGGGCTAAGGGTCCTAGAAAGAAGAGAGTGTGTACTGATTTGTCGTCAGATTCAGACAGCGATTACAAAGAGGATGCAGACTGGGTAGCCCCTGACGATGACTCAGATGATAACCTTGAATCTGCTGGGCAAGAAGACGAAGAAGAGGATGAGGAAGATATGGTGGTTGAAATCAATAAAGATGATGACCTTAAACAAGGAGAAAAGGAAGGAAAAAACCTAGTGGAAACTGATGTAGATTTGGAGGAAGCAGGTAAGTGATATCGATATGTTCGTTCCTCTTTCTTCGTCTTTGTTCTTTGTTTCTTTGTTTTTTTTTTTACTTTCGCCGTGTTTTTTCACTTTGTGTACGTGAAGCACAAGAAAGGAGTAGTACGGCGACGCGAGGTGAACATTGATATTCCTATTTAGAGTCGCGTCGATACCTTGTTTTGTTGTTGTTGTTTACTTCAAAATTGTATTCTCCTTTCGTTTTCCTTCCGCCCTGGATTCTACTGTTGCTCCCCAAATGTTATGATATACAGGGCTTCTGATACTTTGTTTAGGGAAAGATACCAATTCCTTCGTGTAAAGCTACCGAATACAGGGCGAGGCCACTCGTTTTATCCCCTCAACCATCGCTTAAATGAAAACGAGCGTGAATTTGTGCGGTATTGCTCAGTACATTTTTGACTGTAATTATGTTTACAATGAAAACAGGACCTACCAGACAAACAATGAGGAAAATTGCACTTCGAGTGATTTGTAAATTTACTGGAAAAGCAAAGAAGCAACGTTCTTACCACAAAGTCTTATTGTAAGCAAGTTTCTCGAAGCTGATTTGCGTAAAAAATCATTTGGGTTTTTTTATTGTTCTGTTATTGACTTAGCAGTAGATAAGATGCCAGTTTCTTGGAAGATAATAAAGTTCTTATTAGTCCGCCGAAGCGTGTTCCACCTATTCAGTTAATAAAACGGAGCACGTTTGGGTCAAGTCTTGAATATTGCTCCATATTTACATTTATTTTTGTTGATACAGGACTAAAGCATACGCCGTTTTGCGGGAAGAACTGTAATGTACAACACGATAGGCTCCTTTTGGGTCTCTTGAAATCCTCCAATTACCGTTCCGTCGACTCCTTCATAAAACAAGTCAAAGAGTACGTTAATCAACTGGGAAAGTTTTCAGACGTTCGCGCCAATGCTGACCTACCCGACCCGGTTGATTCCTTCAAGTACCCCTTGGTGCACTGGGTCTGTGTATTGGGCAAATTCAAAGTGTTAGAGAAACTAGCCGCCATGAAAGAATTTGATTTGGGTGTTAAATCTGCACGCACCGGAGAAACAGGATTGCATCGAATGCTTTTCTCTCTTCATCAAGCCTTAATTCGAAAGAAAAGCCCTAGCAAGGCAATACTAAAAGTGTTTTCCAAGACGTTGAGAATATTAACCGACAGTCTGCCTAGTATAATAACTGTTTGTAACAAAGAGGGAGACTCGCCGTTTCACTGCTTGGCAAAGGTGATACTCGATAGTACGGGAGACCTGGAGAGAATGAACACCTTCGAAGGTTATTTTGAACATTTAGTGAAAGAGTTAAACCGTTTGAGGAGATCTGACAAGCTGACGTCAGAGGATGTGCGAGACCTTCTTTTGAAAACTAACGGTAGTCGAGAAAACTTCTTGCATATTTTAGCTTGTCGACACGGAGTTGGTCATCGTGTTATAAAGAATCTACTGCGGAACATCGAACCAGACATTATGGCCACCCTCCAGGCGACAGTAAATGCAGATGGCAAAACTCCTTCGGATCTCGCCGAGGATCTTTGCTCCTACGAAATGGCGGAAATTCTTCGCCCACGCAACCAGGAGACTTCCGCCAAAGAGGCCTGCGATAACCCTGTAGAGGAGTCACCACCGACTCCTGAGAGAAAAGCCCCACCAGAATTATCAGCCATGAACTCGCCACCAGCCACCCTTTTCCATCCTATGGAGAGCTCTTTGAGCACTGGTGTTCAAGTTCTAGTCAAGGAGGAGCCCCCAGAAGACGGTTTTTCGGCGGAACCTTCAAGAGAAAGCCCCGATGAAGTTAACGACTCTTCTGGTTTTTCTGAAGTGCTGGCTGATGTCCCATCTCTCACTGCTACCAAATTTGTACCTGGAAAATTAAAGAGTATGATCCCTACTTTGTCTCCGCCTGCGATACAAGATGTGGATACTAGGGCTTCCTCGTCAGTCAATGGTAGAACGGAAAACAATATAACATTGGCTTCCGACCCCGACGCAAACAATGTGTCCAAGAACAGGAACATGGATTCTTCTATTTTGTCTGTAATCATGAGGATGCCGGGCCTCGTGAAGTCTTTGCGCGACTCTGTGCAAACGAAGTTGACCCAGTCACAAAGAGAATTAGCTGATAATAAAAACGCGTTGGCTCAAGTGCAGCGGCGAAAAAGCGATTTAGAGGAACGTAAACGAAAGTTGTTGGAAGAACTCCAGAAGAACTGGAGAGAAGTCACTGCTGCTGCTCAAGAGGAAGGCGCTTTGCATGCCGGAATTGCTGCGAGGAAAAAAGAAATCGAGGCATTCAAAGTCGAATTGAAGAAGTACGACTCTAATAGACAGTGATGTAAATAAGTGTAATGATAATCTGTTTCTTTTTTACACGAGGAAGCTTTTATCCCGGGTAGGGAAGAAAAGTTTCTGAGGTCTCTAAGATGTATGAGCGGGGAAATTGGGATTGGGATTAACTGGAGTTTTAAGATTTTAACCTCGGTATTTGTCCGCTCGACGAATAGCAATTTTCCTCCGTTGTGGCTGTGCACCAATTGCTAGTCAAGTGATGTAGGAAAGACTCATACCATAGAACATCAAAAGAGTCACTTGAAATGTAAAATCAAACAGATCAGGTTCGGATGATTTTGGTAATTTTTGGCTACTTTTAAGATTGTGATATTTGGACTTAAGATTGAAAAAACAACGTTTTTATGGGCACGTAACAAAAAAGAAAATTTTTAAGAATTGTAAAGGACACTTTAAAGAAGATAAACTTAACATGGAGATAATTGGGTCTTGAGTCTTCGTGCATTCCCATTGAGGAAAGTCACTATAAACTATAAAGTTTCACTGTCCCTTCATGACGGAGCGTCCCCATCTAGTCGTTATACAGAAGTCCGTCTTCCAAGGGAAGGGGGGTTTGACCTCGACATCTCGAACCACAGACCAGTCCGCCTTAAATTATACAGATTGCTCAAAGAAGTGACCCTGAGAGGAAAGCAACTAGATAGCCTCAAAATACTCCAGAGCTAAGCTGAGAATGGAGCAACGGCTCCTTCCAAAAAATCCTTCAATATAGTGAAAAACTCATGTTTACCTATTCTTAATTCGGCTCTGTTTTTTGAAGGGTTAAACTCAATTCCTCTTCTTTGTCCCAGCCTTTGAGATTTCTAGTGAAATCTGCGGACCCATCTATGGGGCCGTTTATGCTGGTAGGATCTAACAATTGCGCTGCCAGTATCGATTTTAAAGGCGGTAAGGATACCTCAAAAGAAACGCCTCATTATCTTTTGAATTCAAAACAGACTTTATGAGGATGCTTTTTGCTGCGGGGTCCTTTCTCTTTCTTCTGTTGTCAAGCAAATTGACTATCTGTTTTATTCCCGTGGGAAGTGTTATCAAAAGGCACTAAGAACCTTGCTTCGTTTATTTAAACAACGGCGAAGGAAAGGATTGAGTGACTAATGAACTAGCAGAGCTATCGTATCCCATGTCATTTATAACCGTTAAATTTGGTGGTAAGCTATCAATCTAAATGAGTGTTTGATCTGGAGGGTTTTTTTTCCAAGCTGAGTTGCTGGTGAAGGCGCTTGCTATGTCGTACTTAACTACTTGTTTCTGATCGATTCTGGCAGATAATGAAGAAGAGTTGTTTAATCCGAATTGTGTTACCGTCAATTTACTGGATAACCTGAGAAGAAGATGCGGTTGTCAAAAAGGAAGTAGGAGAACCAATTACATTTTTCTTTGAGTTAGGTTTCCTTGTTTTCAAGAAATGTAAAGCTAGTTAATCGTGTCGCATACAAACACAATGACTACCGCTTCACCTTGCAACTTACCAACAGAAATCTAAACATACGTTATCAGAGGAGCAATTGGAGAGTAATGATTTATTATCTGGAGACTCTTGATTAACAGAGATTTGCGTAAGCGGCAAAGACATGCAAATACTTATTCTTCGATAACGGAAAAACTAAGCAGATTTGCAGGAATTAACATTAACCATCAAAAAAAAAAAAACAGCACAAACGGAGTCAGACTACACGTTTACATCGTAATTCCGGAACTCAGAAGTAGCTTTCGTATAAAGAATTTCTCGTCAACTTGTTTTTACTCTCAGCAAGAACGTAAAATTGACTAATTTTCAACGTTCGCAGGAATTTGGCTATTGTGTTCATTCTTGAAGTCTTTGCCGACTGCGGAAGCCTTTCCTTTGGTGTTTGTAACCAGTTGTGTAATTTTTTTACGTAGGCTAATCCCAAACTTGAAAGTTCAAACTGACTCTATGTTCTGATATTTTTGTTTGATGTCTTATGTTCATTCACTCAACTCTGTGAAGTCTTCTCCCTATCTTCATTATGATTTTCTTGAAAATGGTGTCACTGAGACGTCTAGTTTTTAATTAAACATTTGTCACCATCTGGAAAAAAATTTTATCGCATCGCTCAGACAGCTGTGACCTAAAATTGTCGATGAGACATGAGCGACGTTTTTGCACATAACCATGAGTTGAGTGAAATGTGATGGTCTTCACTCAAAAATTCCTCGTAGAAATTGTACAGATTTATCTTAAACTTTTCATTTATGCGATCAAAGCGAGAATCGGTTTTACTCGATGTCGGTCAAAATCCCAAAAGATTGATCGTAAGACGTTACCGCCTTTACTTTCCTTACACACTTTACGAAGATAATTAGTCAACTCAGTTTATAAACTAAATGTAAGCTCGTTGACATAATTGTTTTATCAAGCAAGAATTCCAAAGAATGATTTTCGTGTTTTGAAACAAATAGACCGAGTTGCTAGGCGACCGAGTGGCTTACACATATCTGATTGTTCTTTTCACAAGACCGCCCGTTTTGTGAATCATTGGTTTGAAATTGTGGGATAAGACAAAGAGGATTCATAAAGGAGCAATCTGTAGGGTTGTGAAGAAAGATGCTTTCATTTAAAATTTATAAGTAACCATACAATAGTTCGTTCATAACAAATCCTCCCTTAAGAGAGGGTGGTATTCTTTATAAACTTCACAAACAGTTCATTCTTTCATCTTGACCCTTTGGCAGTAACGGTGGACTTGTCCGATGAAGATGGTGAAATAAAAAATCTAAACGAATTCCCAACTCAGTACGCTCACAGATTCCTGAAAGGAAGGGAAGTGTTTGTTCTCATCAAAGTTGAAAGTAAGTTGTGAGACTGACCCGTATAACCAAAAACCTAAAGAGATCGGAGTGACGTATTGGAGAGCAGGAAAATGGTATGAGCTTCCGCGGGATCTTGAACCACGAGGTTCAAGACCCTGGTGTGCTTGAGATCCTGGATGTTTGAGATACTAGGGGCTTTCAAATACCGTTTGATTGAAATACCGGGTTATAATTAAGGATAGGGTGGGGGTGAGGAGGGGGGGCACAATGACACAAGTCCACTGAAAAGGGAATGAACCATAGTCGAGATAACGTGGAGTTCATAAGTTTGGATATTTACGTAAAGGGAATTCCATTTATAATAAGATAAGCTGCTTATTTCAGGTAAAATTTATTCATACAAATAATAATCCTGTTTTGCTTACTTTTTGGTTGTTTTCTTTTATCTTTTGTTTTTTTTTTGTTTTGTTTCGTGTATATACTTTCTACAGAAGGCCAAGGTGATCAGCCTACGACGTACACAGCACTGTTGAATGATCTGGAAAGATCAAACCCTAAACTTCTTGGTGGGTAAACTGAGTTAACTGAACAAGTGCCCTGGTCGAAACTAAGGTCCCCACTTGTTTTGTTCTTGGGATCCTTCTCCCTTGGAGTATAATAGAACTGTGGGTTAAAGTCGTCAAAGGGAGGTGTTGGTGAGTCTTCAGAAAATCAGTACTGAGGAAGCCTGATCAGCGAAAAGATCATTAGATAGTTTTTCAGGTTTCCTTTATGATAGAATGAAAGAACGCAAACCAATCTCTGGTCTTGAGCTGGCTTTTTTCCGATGGCTTTGCTTCCTTTCGACGGAAGTAACCGGAGGACAGATATCCACGCAGACGGGTGTTATTGCTTGCAACCACTCGACGTAAAGTAGCCCATTTAATCGCATGAAGATTAATGGTTGAGTTATAATGTTAAATGGCTGCCCTCTCCACAGCTCGCTTAGAGACGTTATCGAAGTCCTGTACTGATTCCAAACCTAAATCTGGACAAAGGAAGGAGTCGCTCTGGAACAATGTTGCAAAAATACGAAAGCTTCGCGGTGGTATGCCAAGTGCAGGACGCAACCGATCAGAATCCAATACTAACTCTAGAGGGGAAAATAAAACTCTTGGCCCCACTCCTTCCCCACCTGGGAAATTGCGTCAAAGGAAAGTTTCCAAAACTTGAAGCATCACCAGTGCTTCGTTTTGAAAGTACGAGTTTATGAAACAATAACTTGTTGTTAATCACGAAACATCTTTAAAAAATATTTGGTTCTATGAGGGTTATTTAAACTCACTGGAGTGTTAACCGAGTTATTTCATCAGATATTTGAAAGGATTGACCCGGGTCAACTTGGTTGGATCAAGGGAATTTTGATGGTTTCTGAAAGCAGTTTAAAACGTTTTTTCATGCTCATTACTAACATCTGTCAGTAGTCGTACGGCATTAGTTAAAACACGTTGCTCTAGCTTTTCAGAAGCTTTTAAGGTCTTATGAAAAAAAACGAAGAGCCAAATATCCTGGCACAGCTTTACGTTCAGAAACAGATAAAAAAACAGCCCAACAGTTCGCAATTAAAGAAATTTCAACATAGTTCTCTCTTTTTTTGCGAGGTTAAAACAGCTCTGCCATGCAAAAGGTCCTTTATCTAATCTTTATATGGAGGACCCTTTCTAGGTCAAGCACATGATTGGAATCGTTTCCTATAACAATATTCTCGCTTTTGAAATCAGCGAGGTGGTGAAAAAAATTTGACAGAAAGGTTTGGTTATCTTTTCCAGGAGCATAAATGTTAGCTAAAGTTAACAATTGCTTATTTTCTGTCATATCACAGACACTAAAAGTTATGAAGGGTCAATGTAGAGTTTGAATTCGTTAATTACAGTTATTAAAGAAAAGAGTACATACCCTTGCTTTCTTGTAGCCAATCAAACATAATAGAGCAAAAGATGCAATATTACATCCCTGATGAGTTGGAGGTCTGGACGGAGAGTTGGAATATTAGGCACAGTACCCAACTTTGACCTTGCGCTATTATTTCAATCTTTTTCTTTTTTTTTTTTTAGCAAGATCTAGCCTCCCCCAAAAGGTAAAGGTTTTATCCTAGCGAGGCAAAAAATGCCCAGAATTCGAGTCGATGTTGACCAAGACAAGTGAAAAAGGCGGAAACAAAAGCGATCTTATGAGTAGAAATGCAGGCAGACGGCTATAATCAAAATCAGCATCAATAGCTGATTAGATAAGATCTTTTTAGTTGAGACCACACAAGTGAATAGTGCTCTTCGCACGCGCTGATTGGCTGGTTCGGAAGTGAATAGCAAGCATTATTCACCTCCGAGCAGCCGACGAGACAAAATCTTGCGTCAAGAGTTCAATTTCCGCCCATTTTGCAAACTTTTTTGTCTCTGTGGTATGTACTAAGACATTTATTCACCGCAGTGTCGATGAAAGTTGTAGATATTTAAATATCCACCACCACTCACTTCCACTTCGGTGAATAATTAATTCATTTGACGAGTTTTGAATAACGACAATTTCCCCGGCCAAAACAAGTTTATAAAGAAGCGCGTAGTAGTAACCGCAAAAAGATAAAAGTCGAGAGTACAATGCACGTTACGTAAACATCAAGTGGAACTTGGCTCAAAAATGGCTAATCCATTGAAAATCATGCAAGAGACATGACAGACTGTCAGCTGTTCTACACCTGGAATAGTTTCTTGGAGCCTGAAAGCGCACATTATAATAAATGCACGAAACCAAAGTCTTACAAGCACGTTGTAAGTCCAGTCCTCACAGACAAAATTCAAAATCAGGTTTAAAATTTCTTTACATTGATCGCTTTTGCAAAATTACGTGAAAGTTCCTCTATTTATTCAATTTTTTTAAATCTGGGTCCCACACTTGTACACATTGCGGACGTACTTGTTTGTCACAGGTTGTCGCTGGATAAAAACTCAAAAGCTTAGAGTTATACGACCCCAAACTGAATTGGTACATGCCACATTCCTCATTCGCGGATTGCATCTAAATACACAAAGTATCAAGCAAGCGGATTTGTGCTTTCTCAAATTTAATCAAAGAGAAACACTTGATGGTACAGTTATTCAACTAAAGGATATTTACTTAACATTTTTATCTTTTTAAGTTATACAAATAGACCACTACGGCTGCAAGAAACTACAAAAACAAGATAAAAAGAATCCTCACGAAAATTACAAAATGTGGAAATAACTGCTTACATTTTTGCCCATCATAGGGATTCAACTTCTTTGTAAGTGAGCATGGAATTTTCCTTTGAGTATTGGAAAATGGCTGAACTGTACTCCGCAGAAATGGAGCCTACGTCACGTGCCTGAATAACCAAGCCCGATTCCACTCTTCCCACCAGCCCCCCTTGATAACTGAAATGCGCGCGATCGTTCGAACTCCTTCTCCAGGTCATCCATTAGTTTCTGGTTCTGAGGTTGTGTGACCTCTCCCGTCGTGGTGGCATTACCTTCTCCTTTTATACCCATCAAGCGCCGGAATTTCGCCTGCATCTCCCCTCCCTGGTCATTACTGAACGTCGTGCTGTTCCACATTGTGGATTTTGGCACGCTGCTGCTGGTACTCGCAGTAGCCTATTATAGAAAAAAATTTAAAAAAAAAGTGGAAACAAGTAAACTTCATTACATCTGTATTTAGCTTAATAACACAAAGATGCTACACAAGACTTAGAAATTGCGACTTAGAGAAGTATAAATGTTGAAGATCCTGGCCAAATTCTATCTCAAACTCAACTCCCCCCCCCACCAGAAAAGAGGTCCTTGTTTTTTCCAAAGAGCACGATGCTTTCGGTAATGTAAAAGGAAATAGCTTTTACAGCTAAGGATTAAAGCAAACTTTATACCTATTTTTCTTAGCATGATATGACTACACAATCCTTTGAAAAAAGTAGCTTGACTGCCAGCTATGCTGAGTGAAATAATCGTGTAAGATTAGCAGTTTTACAATGTTACACCTCTTCTTATCCAATACATCAGCACTCATTCACAGATTATTATTTTTTTTGTAAAATAATGCCTGGTAAGAGAGAAAGATAGGTCGGGCTGACCAGCTCTTTTAGCCTTGAGGTTCAAATCTCTATTACAACATGTTCCATAGCTTTAAATTTGCAAACGCGTAAGTTTACGTTGGAAACCAAACAGTAAAAGATGATGTCATGACGAACCTTTCCACTGCCCAATAAAGCAAATGATAAACATTACTATTCATGCATCTTGAAATCTTTTCAAATTCAAATTCAAATTTTCAAATGGTTTCAAATTCTCACTTTTCTAGTTCCGGTTCGTTAATGTCTACTTTCATTTCTACCGAATTTTCTATCTTCTAATGTGACTAATGTGAGGATTTCCTTCGATTTAATGAAAGTTGTCCAGGGCACAAAAAAAAAAACAAACAAACAAAAAAAGCAAAAACAAAAAAAAACAAAGCGATATATCGTAACCTTAAACCTTCAGTTAGTTGAAGTCGACATAGACAGAAATACCTCTGTAGTTTTTTTGCCACTCCACAATAGCTTTCTTTTCTGTGCCTGTACGGCGTATTGGTGCGGATTCACGACAGAAGGGTTCAGATAGCTGGGCAGGTTTAGCATAGAGGCTGCATCTTGCGCTTGCTTCCTGAGTGACTCTGCATGGGCCGCCAGCTTGGCCTGTACCTCTTCTGAGGTAAGGGGACGCGCGGGGCGTGGTAACGTCTCCAGTTGGCCAGTCGAAGTTGCTGTAAATGAACAGTTAGCAGACGCTGAAGAATAAAATGTTGATATGTTATGTAAGAGTCGTCTAATGAAACAAAAACAACGTTTTAGTTCAATTTACTAAGTTTAAGATTTAACAACTACAAATATTTCTGTTATGATTACTTCGCTGTTACCCCATTTTTTTCATCTTGAGGCAACAATACCCGCAAAGTCTGCGAAGGTCATGCGACAGTAATACTCTGTGGAAAAGGGCGAAATTACGGAGGAAAAGCACAGCAACACAATTACGGTAGTAAAGAAATCCAAAGTTGATTTTTTACGTCACTTAGGCCCGACTTTATAAGCGACGAACTATCAGTTGAAATAAACTGTTTTGGACGGACATAAAGGTCATTTAAATGGTTTCGTTGGCGTTGTTTTGGTTTTTTTTTAGTGCAATTTATGCAACAGATACGACTGACAGGAAATGTCGTTGGTTATATTCCGAAAAATAGAAGCTCAAATACTAAAAAATGAATAAAAGTAGAATAACAGATCCCTTATTCGATGTTTCAAAATTAAATATCATTAGATATTTTGCTCAACTCACAAAATCTCCTTGCGTATCCTATCTTATATTATCAAATAAGGTTTATTTATCCCAGGAAAGAAACGCTCCACCTTGAAAGCCCTATGTGTAAGGAATCGATCTCCAACTTTATCGCTGACCTGGAATGAGAGGAGTCTGAGCTCAGGATAAACTAAAACGATGGACTGAGTCAGCTTAAATTATCCAGGATGAAAAAACGTTGCTCAGTTCTTTGCCAGGCTCGGTTTTCGCAGCCACATTAGGGGACATAGGTTTAAATACACTTAAATTCTTATTCCTAACAGTTTTAATTCACGAAAAAAAAAACAAAAAAAAAACCGATAAAATACAACAGATTATGTTCAAGTACACCAGCACTACGGAAAACGGCTTGGAGGTGTTACCTTTAACAAATGTTTTCTTATCCTGTCCAGGAGAAGCAACTTTTTCGTCCTCTCGACTCCGGTCACGATCTCGTTCTCTGTTTCTATCGCGGTCTCCATCACGGTCTCTATCATACCGCCTGTCTCTTCCCCAGTCTCTACCGCCTCTGCCTTCCCTTTCCCGGTTTCTGGCTCGGTCCCGGTCTCTCTCGTGCCGCCTGCTGTAATCACCGCTACTTCGCCGATCTTAGAAACCAAAGATAAGATTTGAAAGTGCTTCAGTTCAATGAGTCTATACTTGCAACAGAATCATCGATTGATCCGGTATTGAATGAGTTAAAACAACTCGCTATCTCCCTCAGAAATAAAGCTCTAGTCACTTTCCTCAGATTTTTTAGGAATGTTTGTTTTGTTGTTTTTACAGATCCTCTTATATACGTTAAAGTTCTTGAATTTGTTAAAGCACTTTACGTTTGCGATCGAAGAAGCTGAC